CGATTATCTGTCTGAAGAGCAGAATGTTTTCGTGAAGGACTAAAATTCCGCGCAAAGGGCTTAAAACTGGAAACTTTTTAATTTTTTCACATTATTATTTTCACATTTCATTTTTTCATTTTCACATTATAAGGTATTTCTCCCGCCTTCTTAGCATGCTTTCGTGGTGTAGTGGGCAGCACACTCGGCGCGTATTCGAAAGGTCCGTGGTTCGAGTCCTGACGACGGCATGGCTCATTTTTCACACCGCCTTCTTCAAAATAACCTAATGTCTCTACAACGTTACGAAAAGAGTATTGACTTGTATCCACATCATGCGTACTCGAATACATTACATACCTTATATTATACAAGAGTAAACCACATAAAGCAGCCAGGCCATTGTTTGGGATTTGACTCCAGGTTGAACTACCAGTATTCAGTTATCTTAACCACTCGGTTATCTGTAGAGTGAAGAATTATAAGCTTCCGAATAGTAATAAGAAACGGAATTGAGAAAGGAATTCTTTTTACACTGAAAATATTTTATAAAGAAATTTATTATATTATTTTATAAATATTTTACAAAGCGTCTTCATTTCTATGCCTTCCTTTTTCCATCGAAACTTTTGAATGGGAAATACGAATGACAGTTAAATTATAATTTTAATGGAATAAGTAAGGAGGAGTTCTTCACTGAGAGAGAAATTCTTCAGAGTTTTATTTCTGTTACTGCTCGGGAAGACGAAACCGAAAAGTAATCGCTTTGAAATTTGACAGTTTATTCTAAAATATAGTCTCCAAAACGAAATTCAAAATACTGTAATATTTTCCAATACAGCTGTTGTAAGTATTACTTGTACGGTGAGAAGAGGTTTTATAGATAGAAGAATCACCAAAGATCTAAAAATGAGTGTCTGGTATTTAATAAATATTGTGCTGTTCAGAGAAGAATGAGCGAAGTCACGAAGCAAACTTCTAGAATGTCATCCACGATTTTGCTAACTTAAAAATAAGTAAAATGGCACTTTAAAATGTTGGAATTAAACTTTTATTTCAAAAATGAGCGCACAGGTTTTATTTATTTTCCTATACGTCATTTCGGTCTGTTATAGTTTTGAGTTTTTTAGTGTGCATTGAGAAGGGAGGCAAAAGTTTTAGCTTTTCCACTAGGATGAAAGTGATCGTTTTAAGTAGTAGAAGTCACTTCCTTGCATTTTTGGCAAATAGAACATTTGTGCAATCTGTACAAACAGCAATATTGATTAGGGTAGACGTTCTGGTCCAATGGGGGTGAGTCACGTTTCTACGTATACTTAGTTAACGCAGCCACTTAAGTAATGAAAAGAACCTTCGGTAGCTGCTTTTCGTGACCAGAAGCAAACGACGACCATCACACACCTAACCGAAACAGAAGTGACCACCTGCGCCACCTGCGTAGCTGACCACAGGTCAAGGAGGCCGGGAGAGTTCCCACGGCCCTCTCTGCGCAAAGGCAGACGTCAATGCACCTGCTTCCAGGCTATCTAATCTTCTCATTACGCTCTGCTTTCACTGCGACCGTGTCTCATTGAAAATCACCGTTGTTACGCTCTTTGTTTTCCAGCCAAAAAAGGGGCGGAATTTGAAATAGAAAACTTCGCTTTATTTATTGGATTTCTCAGGATTCAGGGCGGAGTCTGCGCTTGCCGAGTGACCAGAACTGCAAATGAGATGCAAGCTGCAATCAAAGAGACACAGAAGACCAAATTGTGCTACACGGAATAAATTACATGCAAATAAAAAAAATCATTTCATATGCAGTGATGAATAGCACCGGCGTGATGAAGTGCATGAAACGTCAGTAATTTATGCTGTTTTCACCACCACACTAATACATTGTTATTTGACGATGGCAACAGACTTGGTATTCTAATAAATATTCAGTGAACAGAGAAATGAATAATTAACGATATATATCCCAAACTTAATTACGACGAAAGAAAATATCAGTATGAGTACGAATTAAATACCTTTCAGCAGTAGACAGAAATTACAGTAATAATGATTTTAAAAAAAAACGATAGTTCACATTTTAACAGTTGCCCAAAAAAGTTCTTTTAAAGTTTAATAGGGTTTATCAATAGAGTTTACCAATAGAGATAGCGCAGGTGGACGAACGAAACATTTTAGAGGATACTAAATGAATAGACATTGGGACTAACATGGAAATGTTCCATATCTTCCGCATATTTGAACGTCATTCTATGAAAATATTGAAAGTTTTTAACTAGATATATTGTGAATTAAATGAATTTTTATTGAAATTAATTCGATTCAGAAGTAAAAAAAAGTAATATTCTTTAGAATTGCAATTATTGTTTAAATAGTTTGTTAATTTATAGCAAAATGATACAGTTGGAAATATTAATAAATCTCTTTTGCCAAATTGCAACAGATTTGTACGAAAAATGAAACAACGCATTCACAGTGAACGACATTTAGGAGTCTAAGTGAATCAATGCAAAATCGTGTTTCGAGATTAATAGCTCTTTGGAGCTAATAAATCCAGAAATACAGCGTGGAGAAAATTAAGTTTATATTTTTGTTAATGAAAATCTTTTTAAGAGGAAATAAAATTAAATTTATCATAGTTATTATTAAAAAGCTCTATTAAGAGGGCATTAAGTCAAATATATCACATCTATTGTTAAAATTGTTATAAAAGTGTTATTGAGATGAATAAAATTATCATGTCTTTAAAAATATTACTAAGAAAGTTCAAAATTAGTTTATATTTGTTATTAAAGGTTTATTAAAAATGGTAAAAATCGAGGTGATCATATGTGCTTTTTTAGTACTGCTAAAAGTGGATAAAATTAAATCCTTCAAATCTGCTATGAACAGTGTTAATTAAAAGAGTAGATAAAATTTAGTTTATGCCATGTACTTTTCAAAATGCTGCTAAGAGAAAATAAGATAATGTTCATCAAATCTCTTATTAACAGCGTTATTAAAAGAATAAATAAGATTAAGTTTGTCTTATCTATAATTAAAAGTATTGTTCCGACAGGTTAAAATTTAGCTTTTTATATTTTTCATTAAAAGTGAAAGACATAAGGAACCAACGAAGTTTTCAGTCTTCTAAAAGTAATTAAATTATGAATCAGAATTTTCCTGTTCAATAATTGACAACTCAACAAAACAACTAAATTATAAATTCACACTTTCTCTGACTGAATAAATCAGTACTTTCTTCTATAAGGCTACTTGCAAGACCTACCTAAGTATTCGCTGCCGCAATGTGTAGTCATATTATAAGGTATTTCTCCCGCCTTCTTGGCATGCCTTCGTGGTGTGGTGGTCTGCACGCTGGGCGCATATTCCAGAGGTCCGTGGTTCGATTCCCGGCAAAGGCTTTGCTCATTTTTCATCTTGCCTGCTTCCAAAAAATACCTTATGTCTATACAATATTATGAACTACTGTTTTCTAAATATCTGTCTACTGCAGTTAATAACCAAAAAAAAAAAATGTTAATGCTAATGTAATCTAGAGTTGGTTCTGCAGTATTAAGCTAGAACAAAGCAACAACAAGCTAGAGATAAACATCCAGTGGATGCTTTAAGGTAGCTTTGGCACTGAAGATCTTCAAAATTTGGTCAGAATCAAAGCAATAAGCTTACAACAGTCTTCCAGAGTCGGTAGTAAACTAGAATTCAGCACTAACTAGCTTCAGTACTGAAGGTAGTTAGCATGAAGCTAGAATTAAAGCAATAAGGTAGTAATAGTAATCCAGAATATACAGGGTGGCCAGAAAGTCCCTTTACCCGTGCAATCATTTCATTGTAGCTTCAGTAACGCTTATAGTTATTTGTCTAAAACGTCCGTATGTGCACCATCATTATTCCTGCACACCTTGATACACATCAATATTCTCCTATGCAGATGCTTTAGCAGCTGTTGTGTCACATACTTTTAGGCTTCAAGCACTCCTGCCCGCAGAGCATCATTGTTCACGTACCGCTTCTTCCTGACATATGATTTGATCATCTCCCACTGGCAGAGTCGTAGGTAGGGTTTTCAGCGCCCAGGGACAACTGAAGATTTCGCGCCCTCTTCTGCTTGGCCAAGGATGGAAAACATTTAATTCTAAAATGTCGTAACATCAGTTTGGCGCCCCTAGGATTCTGCGCCCGGGAACAGATTCCCCCCTTGCCCCCCTCTAGCTACGCCCCTGCCCACTGGTTATTGTCTGGTGTCGTAAGATCCGGACTTCAAGGCGGCCAAGTATACGGGGCTGGTGAATCCAAAACACTTCCCATGCGAAGAAATTCCTTCCCCCACGCGATTAAAATCTGACGACTTGGCGGCTTCTGACGGGACATTTCACGAAACCTATTTATCACCTGTGTCATATTTTGGCTGTTGTGCTTCCGTTCATGGATCGACACACTTGTCATTAAGCCCTCCTCCAATGTGAAGTCAGTGTATCCAGTATTGTTTGTCACTGGTATCTGCCATTGTTCGTCACCAATCACAGAAAGGCGAGACAATGAATTGGTAAACTTGCAGACTTTATTCTCTTCCCCGGGCAGTCACGTGGCAGTTAGGCGACAGCCATGTTGAAATTCACTTGATAAGCACTGTTGCCATATCAGTGATCAAGATGAGAGGTTCAAATCTTAAATATCTTATCATTTTAGACTGTTACACGCATTTAGTTCAGGTGTAATGGGGACGTACTGGCTACACTGTCCATAATCAGCACTAAACTATGTTCGGTATTGAAAACAATCAGTACTAAGTTAGAATCAAGAATCAGCATCGCGCTATAAGTAATCCTCCATGTCAATCGTTGAAAAAAACTTTACCTTTCCTATCTGCTGTTTAAAACCTTTTTATAAATGTTATTAAGGTTAGCTAAAGCTTGGAAAGCTCAAATCGAAGTTGAACTACCATTAAAAATAAAACAATTCTTGCAGACTTATAATGCGTATTTCTTTATATAAATATGATTTCATTTGTGATTCATATCTTTTAGAGGTGAGTTTCACTTGGGCTACAGCAAGTCAAGTCTTCAGGGAATCTCTTGGTACGAACTTGTCCACTGGGAGCATCTCAGGGAAGCCCAATCCAAACACAGACTAAGTAAGTTATTTTCTTTATGATAATTCTCGTGTAGTATTCTAAGACCTTATTTCAATGGCCAACGTTCCCCCCCCCCGAAAAAAAAAGATCAGACAATTATTTACGTGAAACTTTGAAACTTAATCGCCAGTCGTCAGTTGATGACATATGTGAATCGGATGAAATTTTTTTCCCTTTTCCCGATCTCCACTGATGGAAGTACTAGCAGTGAGTCCATTCATGAGGGTGGCCCAACATAAAGGTGCTGGCACTTTTATGCAAGCTGAACACTGTTCGAAAATCTAAAAATCTATATAAAACGTGCCGGGCACAGAAGTGACCACATCATAATGAGATTAGTTTTTAATTTATTAAAAGCAACCAACTAATTTTTAAAAAATAACTTTCATAAATGTCTTTTTATCCTTTTATAGAGGTTCAGGTACCTTTACTGCCGTGGCGCTCAAATGAAAGTTTCTGCCATTTCAAACGGTGAACAAACTCTCATAAATATGCCAGTACCTGCATCACCGAGCACCGTTAAGGAGCAATTTGTTGGGTCCAGAAATAAAAAAAGGCGCATAAGAAAATTTGCTTTTAATATTGCCCTGCTTTAAAACTGGTAAATTATGATAAGGATATTAAATAATAATAATGAGGTTTTATCTCTAGCACAGAGGATAATAATTAGTTAATGCAATTGTCCAATTTGTTTCTCCCCGCTCCCCCATCCTCCCATTAGCTGTTGCTAGGAGTATGACATAAGTTCAAACATTGTTAAAGAAAACTGAAAGGATTCAGATATTAACATCGCACCAGAGAGTTTCTTAAGAGCCTAGAAAAGCTATTATCCTTAAACTTCACTTTGCGTAGAGTCACTTCTGCCATCCGTTTCATTTTTTAAATCATTGACCGCCTAAAATAGTTACTATAAAAAGAAATAAGAAATATGTATAATTGCGCAAGTAATAATAACTTGTATTCGCACTAAATGGATTTAAGATCATACAACATATATATATATATATATATATATATATATATATATATAATGTTTTTTATAAATCTAGTTGGCTTCATTTCACGGGTCCAGCTGGTAATTTATAAAAAAGATAAATAACTGCGTTTATTGGTTTTGAATCGCTTGGTTTGTTAATTAATAAAAGGCAGATTAAATTTGAAAGAAAAATTAAGTATATCTTAAAGTTTCTAAAAATGGCAACAAGCATGGAAATTAAAATCAGGTATCTTTATAATTCTAGGTAAAATGTTAATTAAATGTTGCCTACTTTTTAAATACTGATTATGTAATTTCTTTAAAAATAATACATGACAATGACATTTGATGGCAACATTTGAAAAATAATACGGAGAAGTGAGATATGATAAAAAAATGATACGGAAAGGAAAATGATTGATACGGATAAAAAAATGATACGGAAATACGGGGGGAGGGAATGAAATTTGAGACTAACAGCACTGTGGTGCTGAAAACAGATAGGGGGGGGGAAGAAAAAAAAGAAAAGAAAACTTTTTTTTTTTTTTTTCCTTCACAAGTTTTTATAATTACGAATTAAAAGTTTAGGACCCTATTTGATTCTCAGAGTTTAAAGAAAATAAATCACTGATACATGTTCTGATAAGAAAGCCCCAGCAAATATGTAATAAAATATAAAAGAATAAAAATATGACTTAATGTGATAGTGCAATACCTAGCCATTTTTAATTCATATCTTTTTTAATTCTTGTCCCATTAATCTGCTCATTAAGAGCAACCGTTTCTCAAACTGTCCACGATGTGGCCTTCTATTAATAAATTTCCCAGAGAGCGATCTCAGAAATTTTGTTCTCTCTTTTTTACAGTTACGCAGTCAGAACAAGAACGGTCCTGCATCATCTTGCTTCGACTCCAGGACAGTTCCGGGAGGTGGTTGTGGGTGCACGTGGTTCTACAGATCAAAGACGGTACCGACACCACTCAGCAATCAGTGATAGTCTGCACCAACCAAATACTCAGGTAAAGACAAGGATTTAGTAAACATGTCTTTGTTTAACATTATAAAATGGGTGATTATTCTAACAAAGAAAGACATTTGCGGTCCTTTATTACATTCAAAGATAATAGGTCGTCAGTCATGTTTATTAATTCAAAGCGAGGTACTTTCTGGCGGCGGATGAGGAAATTTAGTACTAAGTATAAAACATTAACGAGCAATTGTAATTCAGCGTTTTGTCTTGTGAAGAATTCCATCGCTGCTTTAACTGCAGAATATTCTGTATAGTAAATTACAGATCATTTATTTGAATAATTATTAACTAGCTACATTCATATGAATATTTGCTAAAACATTTTTGTGTGTTCATTAAATGCATTCCGTCTATATTACCGTTAAAACTTTTTTAATACCGTTAAGTCCTTTGCAGTGTTTTTTGTGCTTTCATAATGCTCTCATATAAAAATTTGTCAACACTGGTTCCATGGAGGAAGAAAGATTTTTACTGAAGAAATAATATTTAATTGTTGCCTGATGATTATCTTGTTATCAGTTTTTCAATAGAAACAGGTAGGAAAAGTGACATTGGAATTCGTATCAGTATTGCCACATGCAATGAAAATTTAAATAGCGTATCTAAATAATTAAATTGTTATCCAAGACAGAAAAAGTAAACCAGTCCATCAAATAGAAACTTTTTAACATCAACATAAGGTTGCTGATTTGCTTAATTTTAATTAATTCATGTTTAACTTTCTATCTTTAACAATGAAACTTAAAAATATTTTTATATACTGAAAAGTAAAATGGATGCCTAAAACAATCGGCAAGGGTTAGAATCCCGGGCCCTGATGCATAGGATCTTGTGGTTTTCTCCATGTGTAAAGTGGATGCGAGCCAGTTCCTTAAAAGGTCCTCCGCGAAGGCATCCTTCCTCTCAGACAGATAGCTCTCGCTTTCTTTGTTATAATCAAATAAATCAAATCAAACCAAACGAGCCTAAAACAATTCGAGTGAAATATCAAAAATGAACCAAAATACGTAGTTTTAGGGGTCGAGCATGAATCTTTTTATTTTTATGAACTTTATCGTTTGATGCTTGAATTAGGCTGCCATGAACCACTAATGTTTTCCTCAGCTTAAATACTAACTAATTCATTAACATTCTGGTGAGGAAACGGAAAGGATGAGTTATAGTAGAAGATTAAATTATAAATAACTAGTTAATTTAAATAATAACACTACACATTCCTTCGCTTAGGCAAATTGCCCTCGCATGCTTTGCCATATTCAATTAATTTAACCTCTATATTATCAGAGATACGCATTTACAAGGAAAACATTACAAGGGCCCAATCTTATCCGTTAGCTCATCAGATTTCGTTTCATATATAATGAAAAAACAAAAGAAAGTTTTGTTACAGCAAACAATGCATATCATAATTCATTTGATTTCGGAATGGCATATAACAATTTGCTTTTCTGAAATTCTTAGTAATGATTTTAAAAATACATCCGTTCGAATAACTTGTGGTGTTTCATTGTATTTAATTTTAGTCGCAATATTTCGTTAAGTATCTTTCATTGTTACTAAGCCTTTACAGATTCTTTTTAAGTAAATGTATTTGATAAATGAAATATTCTCAATAAACAATAATTCTTACATTTAATTAGTAAAGATTAAAAACTGGTATTAAAAAATAAAAATATTTATCATTTAAAATATATTTCAAATTTTGAATCACGATGACATTCTATTCTATTGTTATTTATTATATCTATCTAGGAATATTTATCTGATTAAAATTAGGAGGGAAAAGTGTTAAGATAAATCACATTTATTTGCAGTTTAAAAATGAATGAAAGGGTGGGAAAAAAGTCACTATGTGGCATTGCATGCAACTTTCTCAAGCATTTTTGTGAATCAATGAGAATAATCTACCCATTACCTGACCGAAATTTGGGTTCACACTACATCGCATCATGTTTGGGTACGCATCACAATCTATATGCCAATATCATCTATATGAAAAAGCATGAAAATTTAATAATGCTTTAAAGTTCTTTTTTTATCAGTTAAGAGCAATTTTTACCGAGATAGAACACCTGTTCGTGTAAAGCCATTTATTTCATTCCTAATTAAAACTCTTCGTTATGTAATATATTTCTATTTCAGAGGTAACGCAGTTTCTAATTATACCGCATTTTAACAGAATATAAAACATATTACTTCATCATATCATAGCCTATTTATTAAGCAATTACCTTTTGAAATTATTTGCCTTTTTCTTAATGTTTCCTTTTTTTGCAGTGAGAAAGAAGCAGCTGTGATGCGTGCCAACAGCTGGCTGTACCAGTACTATTCACTTCATTCCAAAATGCACTATGGCCTAGCATACGAGGCACATCCATCCCGACTGCCAACGTATTACTCAGCTATGATGCCTTATCATCCATCGCCAACAGAAGCCGCAGTACCCCATTCACCTTACCATCTACATCCTCCTCCTCTCAATGGAGGAACAGCACAAACTCAGCCTCCCCCACCACCAACGGTTTTACAATATGGTGGTGTACCATATACCAGTTTACCATCAGAGCCAGAGCAGGCCAGATGGCCAACTGGAGTGAAAAGGTCAGCATCGCCCGCTTTAAGTAGTCCTAGCAAATCACCGCCACGAGCAGCTTCATCTTCGTCTTCGACATCTGGTATCTTGATCCGGAATTCTAGTGGATATACGGCAGCCGGTGCTGAAGTTGTCGTCCCTCCATCCGCTTACTACGGAAGCACGCAAGTATTTGCAACAGTTTCTTACCCACACCTCGTTTCCTTAAGAAGTCAGAAACAAGTAGACGATGAATCCGTGGAACAGTCACTAACCCCAGCCAACACGGAGGACGTTTCAGCTATGATTTCATTGGCCAATCGGCCATCTTCCTACATACCCATCGCATCCGTGTTGTCAGAAAGTAACCGAGTCCTTTCTGATAGTTGTACAGATGATCTCATTCGGAGACAGGATGACACAGGGTCTCGAAGTCATCTTTTCTGTTCATCTCCAAGGTCAGCTTCAAATCGATTTGATCTGCCTTACGTTCGATATGGGAATCCTTATCCGTTAGTAGATCTCGATCACAGGAGAAGATTCTCTAAGTGGGATAAGGACATTCGACAAAGTTTCTGGGGAAGTCCAGAGCCACATCCACACCTAGGACCTATTCAAGGTGATTGTTTCCCTTACTCTGATGGTGGGTGCACAAAATCTCCTTTCATGGAGACAGGTCCTATGTATCAAGATCTGAGCCAAGAGCAGAGTTTCAGGGCTCGGTTCCTTGGTTACGACCTACCCAGGAGAGAGGACATACTCAGGCTCTCCTCCGACAGCCATCATAGTAGCAGTGTTGAAAGTCAACAAGAAGTATATGGTAACGGCCATGCTGGTGTTAGGCCTTGTCTAGTCAGACCAAGCAATAGCCCTTCTCCACATAGCAGAGCAAGTTCCGATTGCTGACGGTACGATTCATTAAATTCTAATACAAAATATATATAAGATAATTCAAAATGAATGCCATAAAAAGGAAACATACTTGTGACTGAAAGCATACTTTTACATAAGCAACCTATATTTCAAACTGTTCCATACGTGTGATGTTATGATAGTAAGTTGCTTCAGTGTAAATTTGGTCTGGAAATGTCTCTAAGTAACAATTATCAATGAAATTTTGCATAGGCGAGTTTTTCAATCTGATAAATAAAACTTGAGGAGTCAAAGTTTCATTTATTTCACCATTGCATCTGCATTTGAGAACAATACAGATATTAGAGAAAATAAATTCAATTGACAAATTCATTATGTCAGTCACAAGTATGTTTTCTTATTGCACCAACCTTTAAAATTATTCTGTGCAATTAGTGTTATAAAACTTGAAGCAAAGAAAAAGGCTGCCTAAAAAGAAAACGGATAAAATCGAACTGTTATGTTATACAATCTTACATATTTTCTCTCCATTATCCTAGAACACAAAGGAATTCGCTGTAAAATATGTATGGATATGGGATTAAATTCTGAATTGCCAAATGTGATATTTAAAGTTTCATTTAAATAAAAAAAGCGATAAGACATTTATATTGTTTTACAAAAACAGGGTAAAACACATGTAGGAAATAGCACTTTTTTCAACATGAAGTTGAAATATTAAAATCAATTAATTTCTATGTTCAAATAAAAGGAACAAAACGTTCAAGGAACTGCTTTTTTCATTAAAAAAATACCATTAGGTGTTTTGAGTTCTATTTACTGGATATTATTCATTAAGATAAAGAGAGTAATACATTTATTTCTAACTATATCGCAAATTAAAAGCAAATGAGACATACTATTCTTTGCTTTTTCTACAACGGTAACAAAGAACTGCTATTGTTCTGAAACAGCAATAAATGAATAAACTTGATTTTAATTTAGACAGCCTTTTATCTTTCTGTTTAATTTTAAGTGAAAAATTATGTACTGTTTTAAAATTTAAAGTAAGTTAATTAACTATATATATTAGAATTTCTTACTTTGATTTGAAATTCACTCTTATATTAAAAAAAAAAAAAAAAGAAAAAGAAAAAGAAAAAGAAAAAAAGAAAAGAAAAAGAAAAAGCAGTAAACTAGCAAAGGACGTAGCAATTTTTTTTTTTTTTTTTTTTCCTGTTAAATATTCCGTCTCTTCAATTTAAACATTTACTAGTATATGTTCACAAGATTGCGATAAAATTATTTATAATGAAGATAAGACTGTTTAGTTCACGTTTGCTTGAGGAAAATTATAAATCATTTTTCTCAGAGTTAGTTAAAAAATCTACACAATGATTTTATATAACATGGTCTTTGATGGATCAAAAATGAAAAATTATAAAAAATTAGTATTCTTTTATTGCTGAAGCACAAAACCCATTTTTTAACTGCCTAAGGAAAAGATTCAGATTTCAAAGAAATAGATTCATTTCAGAAGTGGTAATTACGAGTATAATAGAACAAGTGCTAAAGAACTATCCAAGGGACTTTAAATCAAATTCTAAGAATTGACACAGATAATTAACTATTAAATATAATAATTAAAATTTTACCTTAAATTATAATAATTATAACATGGGCATTTTAAGCATAATTTAAAATATTTAGATACAATTGTACATATAAATGCATAAATAAAAGACCCGTTTGCACCAAAATCTTTAAATGAATTTGTATTTAGTCTTAGCACTTGAGTTACAATTTTTAATTTTTTGAATGTAAATTTATAATTTGTGTCAAAAATACTTTTTTAGTTAAATTTTAATATTAATTTCATTTTAATTAGCAAGCTCTCATATTTTATGTTTAGTTAGAAAACTCGCATAACTTCTGTAAAACTAAACTGTTCATTATGCACCAGGAAAAGATAATCATCTATAATGCATCCGTTATGTACTCTCGCCTTTTTCTGGCCATGTCAGAATTAATTTTGTTGTAATAAAGTCCTGATAAGAAGGCTGAGACAATTTTTCTAACCTTTGTTAGCCACTAGGAGTCTTCGCGTTCCGTCATCTGTCACCTGCCTAAGGAAAACGAACGAACGAACGAAGATTTATACCGCAGTTCGTGAACTTAATCACATTCTGGGAACGGGATAAATCCCGAAGGCGTCACCCAACGATGACGTCGAACACTCCTGCTGGGCCCGGAGTCCCACACCCCCGAGACACCAACAATTTTATGGTACCCTCTTTTGATCGCTCAACAATCAAAAAGCACCACCGCTAAACACGGGCCGGTCAAGACCACCGTCCCGGCCGGACCGAGACCACGGTGGGGTGGGCGATGGAAACTTAGGGTCGATGACCGGTCGTTATTTTGGGCTACCTGCCAGCACTACACGGGTGCCCCTCTCTCCTTAGGCTTTACATGGAATTCCAAGGACAGCAGTGACCAGACTCTCAATGGTCCAGTTTGCTATTTGGCTACCAATACCCTGGTGGAAAGGACTTACACCTCTCGGCCCATGAAGAGCAAGTATAAACCTACCCCATGGACCATCAGGAACCGCCAAGTTCATAAATTATATACCCCCGTGGCCGAGACTGCCTAGGTACAGATTCTAGCCAGTACTGCGCAGAGTACTCTACGTCGACCCCCGGGGGGGTGCCTAAGGAAAAGGCAAACATAAACAGCGACATACTATACTTACCTTGGCCAACTATACTTACCTTGCTAATACTATACTTACCTTGCTATTTTTTGCAGATTGGAAGTATCGCTATAAATCCAATTTGCAAAAAATAGCAATGACAACATGGATGTGAGAATAGGATATCATTGTCCATCATGTCATGCAAAAGGGGAGAAGAACTTTCAATATATTTACCATTTGTGATACCAGTAGAGCTACTTACAGCTACTTCACAATTAAATTGAATTCTCTCTGGTAATAGTCCATTCTCTATGTACTTTTACTCCAGAAGCATTTATTCAACAGATACCCACACTGCGGCGAATTAAGCGACGATCCACATGATCTATTCAAATGCTCATTAAAAAAAAAAAAATGTTTCCACATTCGTCGTCCATCATGGCTCTCCTTTTGAAAAGGAAAGAATACAGAAACATCATCAAAATAATGAATATGGTAGCAATACAGGCAGATATTTATGACGTTCCTGATGAAGAATTTTTCCATCTGAAGAAAAACACCATTTCTTCAGCAGTTTCTTACCACCCTTCAGATCTTGTGCACGTATAAAACGCGCATTAAATCATTAGCTTCCAATTACAAGGTCTATTGTAAGCCTCATTTCATGCACGCACTCATCATAGCAAGCAGTGCTTCATCATAAGTTTACGCTATAAAAAGTGCAGTCGAAGAGCACCTGTTGATTCTATAGTAAAGCATTGGTGCCCTCGCCTATCAAATACCAACTACCAACATGAAAAAGGAGCTTCAGTTTTAATACTGTTATTTTCATTTTATAATTTTGTATTTATTTTATTAATATATAGCATTAGAAACAAAAGAAAGGAAAATAATTTTTATTAATCTTTTATCTTATTTTTTTCATCAATCCCAATGTTATTACGGGTATTTCAAATAAGACTGGATCATCGTTTAAAATCTGCATAACTTAGAGATTTTTATTTAATTAGGAAAATTTTTATTTCCGAAATCTATTAAAACTAGAGAAGATCTACGTTGGCTTCCAAAAATTCAATACGCGATAGTAAAATCAACAAAAATGAAACAAAAGCTTTAATTAACACCAAACCTCACTGGAAGGTAGAAAATGTGTTTATGGATGAAAAAAAACCATTAAATACAAAGGAAAAAACAATATTGAATTTTCATAAATTACACACAGATGTCACATTTCGGTTATTAAAGATTGAGCTAAAAACAACAAACTAAACTTACATTAATAAAGTTTGTGTGAAGGACTTACAGCGATACATGAACTTTACAGCGATTGCCCATGCTTTCAATGACGTGATCAACCATGGTAAGTGCTAGCAATAGTCATTCCTCCATTAGGGCAGATTCCTAGTGTCTGAGATTGGCTGGAGAAGATAAACGTGAAGACACAGCAGGCCCGAGGAGCATCTCAAAGATTTTCATTGGGATTAAGTTCGGGAGGGGGAATAGTGCTGCAGCATAGAGTCTCACAATGAGGTGTAGGACTTTCTCTCGATACCGCATAGCCGTCACCGTACTGTCTTTCTTTAAAGACATATAGCTAGGTGATATATCCCATTGAAATTCCAGCCCATACCATACTACCACCTTTGAATGCGTGTTGTTCTGGGCCTGACTTAATGTGCCTTATTCTCTCCAGACGCTTGATAAGCTTAACACCCGATTCCAGGGAAAATCTGGTTTAGTACGCGAACAGGACGTTGACCAATCTGAAGCAAACCAATTGAGATGTTGACGACTCGAATTTAATCTTGCTTTTATGGATTGGACGGTTTAAAACGCAAACTTTTCATGTGAAACCTTCGGCGCACAACACTGGCAGATAGTGTCTTACCAAGTGAGGCTGAAACCAAGAATATAACAGTTGTTGAGATGGCTCATCGATTCCACTTGGCTACCTATAGCAATATACCGACCTTCATAAGGTTGGTATATTGCTATAGGTAGCCAACCTTCATAAGGTTGGTATATTGCTATAGGTAGCCAACCTTCATAAGGTTGGTAACGCTTGATTGATCACGCACAGGTCTCAGGACAACTGTTTGATTTGTTTGGAATTGTTTCTATGTTCGACATATTACCAACTAAACAACACCAATGAAATGAGCGACATGTTTAACTGACAGTCCTGCTTCAATGTTTTCGACAGCATATCAGCATTCACTGTCTGCCATTCAATTTCTTTCAGCCATATAAACACGAATATCACCAGAACATTAAATGAATCTTTTCAAACCCTTGAGAAGGCTGGCGTCTTCAACCACTGCACTTATTAGCATATGTTCGGACAGTCAATCGTGAAACATCATACGTGCAACATGCTATATTGGCATGCTGCCATATGCATCCTTAGCGACTTTCAAACGCTCAGATTCAACTACGCTTTCTGAAATTGCTAATTTGCTTTGCGTGTTAACGTTTGGAAACCAGGGTAGAATAAGCTTTACCGTGCATGCAAAAAGCTAGCATGTTCAAATATAATCCATATACTTTCCACAGCCTGGAATGCTACTGCGAAACATTTCTTATCATTATGGCTAATTTCATTTCCGATATTTTCCTTTACATATTCTAAGGTGCATGGGTAAGTGTCTGGGCAAATAACAAAAAATCAAAAAGGAGGTAAGGCTCAAAGCACTTTTACAAACTTCTTCGAAGACTCTATAATTTCCCATGACCTAACTTTCTAGATCATCATTGGACCTTACTTCCCCAGACCCTTTCCTTTGAGGATACCTCAAGGTTTTATGAATATAAATCAAAACTGTCTAGTTTTACTTTGATCACCTTCTGTAAGCAAAGTGAAAAAAACGCTTTATTTAATTTTTGTTTCCTTTTTTTAGCAATCTACAGACTCTTCAATGATCCTGTCTTGAAGGAGTTACGAAGTATGGCATATTGCCAGAAAATTTTATATTGGACCCAGTTCCTGAGATTCTAACCCAGCTGCTACCTCATCACCCTGCTTCCTTGGACATCAGAATATTACGCCGTTACTTTTCCATCTCCACCTCGCATCTCTCATATAATGACAACAGCAATTGAAGAGCTGCAAATATTTCATTCGTTCTTATAGTATTGTTTTAGAATATGCCTCTCTCCCTGGGAACTCGCAGTATGCAAACTATGTGATTGAACGAAATAGATTTGGATGTTTATTTATAATATGTGAAAAATCACAAGCAAGAGACACTGCGATGTTGAAAATTTTACCTCATTTAAAGAGAGAAATTCAATTTAATCAGTTAATTTTATGCCTTGAGTAAAAGTGTTAATCGTTTATTTCTGTCCTATTCAGTTTCAAAAAATTACTTCGATTCAGTATTATTATTTAAGATTTTTAGTTGACACTTATGTAAATCTTCTTATACCTCGTTTCCATCTGGTAAATAAGATGTCATCTAATTGAAAATTTTAATAATTTTCCATTGCTTCCAAACACCATCTTATTATAAATTATTTGAAAATATAATACTAAGAATGCACCTTTGAATTCCTCTGACATACACAAAGCCTGCAAGACAGTAACAGTTTGTTCTGATCTTGATATTTACGATTATATCGTGACTTTTAAAGCATATAAAATATACAGTGTCTATAAAATTCTGGAACTGAATTCTTTCTACGAAGCTTAGCAAAGTTATTTAATGCTAATCAGTGTCACTGATTACCAACACATTTTAATTTGTTTTATGCAAAACACAGTTTTTTTACGAAAAAATATTTAAGTGGGATTTTTTTCCCCCAGTTGATATACAGGGTTATTGAAAAAAATGAATCAGTTTCGTGGAGCTATATTTTATTAAGAACTTAAAACTTTTAACAAGGTAAAAAATTGATAATAAAGTTTTCTTTCTTATTCTATAAATATTCAAACACGTTGAAGTACCGCAAGTTTACGGCTAGCTGGAGCTGTGGATAGCCATGGGCTCCGCTGAAATGCTTTCTGGATTTTTTCCAATATTTTAGATTTACAGCCATCCGAGGCTCGTCCCTTTACATAAATATCCACAGTGTCGAAGTTGTGGAGACCTCTCCGAATGTTCACCAATTCGAGAACACAGAACAACACCTTTTGCTGACGAGTAGCAATTCAGAACGTAAAAGAAGGTCAATAGACAGACAAGGTTCCTTCCAAAATTGGAATTCAGTCCTGTCACTTTTCTTATGAAAGTGGATGAAACCAGCGTTACTATACTACAAGGTTTGCCTTTCCCAGCCGAAAATCTTTGAGCATGTGACGTTGCTGGCTCATAGTCTGCTCCAAAACAATTACTCCTTTTGTGTCTTTATTACTGCAAATTCAAGCGTTGAGAATACCATAAACTTTTTTTGTCTACTGACCTTGAGAGCAACGAAGACACAGCTCTGAATCAGATAATAACGTCATACAAAGCCAGTAACTCAAAGATTTCTTTGTCGGGAAGAGCAAACCTTGTAGTAAAGTAACCTTGACGTTAAGAAGCAATTTAAAGAGGGGATGACACATCTAAAACGACTTGCTAGAAATAATCCAAAACTTAGAAATCTACTCTTTTAAATGGTCAGGGTCTCATTCCAATGAAGATACTTGAAGATTATAAAAGTTGGACTTCAAAACTGATTCATTCGTTATAAATAACCTTATATACTATCTTAAGCTCAAAAACTGAGCAGCAATAGTTCTGTGTGCAGTCAGCTGTATTCTACCAGCCTACTGCAATAAAATTCAAAACTGTTCTTAATCATCCTCTTTGAAGTAACTCATAGACTGGACATCTGCAAGTTTTTATCTGGAAGGCAGAATTAAAGAGTGGGCCAACAAGTGACGCATTTACTTCCTTGAAGACATACAGAAGCTCTACGAAAGTAATATGAGACGGGTATAATTAGGAGGAATGTGCATAGGAAGATAAATTTTGATAAAGTTTTATTTTCTTCCCAAACATTAATTTGTTACGAATTCAGTTCCAAAATCTTGTACACACGCTGCACATCCATCACACTAAGTGACTGCCTGTATTCAGTACAAAATGTTATTCTGTTTTTGTTTTGTAATGTTGTTTTACAATTGCAAATTTTCATTGTTCAGCGAAAGTTAAGAATGTTCCTTATGAAGCTCATTATGGTAATAAAAGTTTATGCAAGTCGGCCACTGTTCGCAAAGGAAGAAACTTTCATAAGTGTGCCCTGGCACAAATGTGGCAACACCCTTTGCAGATCAGTTTCTAATTCGAGGAAAGAACTTCATGAATGTGCTGGCATCTTTATGCCAAGGCAGCATTATAAAAGTAGCATTTTAATTTGTTATTCTCATTAGCAAAACAAAGGAGTATTCTACTTGTATAGTAATGGCTAAGTGTAAAGATGAACGCACTGTTACGAAGTTGCATGTTTGGAGTTAGAAACGTATTTACATAAGGATACGAGCATCTTTATGCACGAGCGCCTTTATGAAGCTTTTTGTTTTTCGATCGGTGGCTGAATTGCATAAAAAATGTATAGGCACCTTTCAGACGCTGATATGAAAAAGTGTCCCGAGGTACTTAACGTATTAGTGCAACTACATTGGTGCAGTTTTGATGATTTTTTTTAAGAAAGAATAAGAATGACGTTTTATAAAACCATTTATTGCATATATACGCATTTTACATTTTAATTAGGTATTTATCTCCCAAAAAATTTATCACAATTTATAACTTCCAAGTGAGTCTTTAGTTATTTAGTTCAAGTGGAAATTGCGCGGCGATAATTTAAAAAATAGATTCAAAACAATTGTTCCGTTAAGTGATTTCGCTGCTAAATGATCTATTCCTCTAGAATTTTACAGCAATTTCTCCATTGCAGGCAAATTCCATAATCTCACACTTTAAAATTATAACAAAGATATAATTTGTTTACAAAAGCCGTTGTTACTTAGAATACAACAAAAAGAACGCATACGAAAACGACAGCGTTACTTGTTAAAAACTAAAGAATTGTTGTCCTCATAGTTACCAGAGTTTGGCCCATTCCTGAAAATTTACGACTTCCACTAAGGTAACTGCGCTAATACATAAGTACCTGTCCTGATTTATGGTACCTTCTAACGAAATATGTTTCTCTTTCATACAAGAAGGGAGAAATTATTATATCCTTGATTTGTGTATGACACAGTACACAATGTGCTTAGGTATAAATATATACGCTTTAAAAGTTACAGCAACTTCTTCTGATCACCTCTTTTAACTAATAGAACACATAGGCTTCGTTAAGAGACAAGGGCAATGCGGTCATAAGCGATATAAACCAAGCTTTGTTGCTAGAAAACCAAATCTTGCTATGTTATAAAAACTGGCTTAAGGATTTTGTTTAAATGTTCTCCAATGTTTAAATGTAACATTTCGACTTTATTCCAACTTCGAATAAGAACTGATCAATCACAGCGAAAGCAAACATGAAGTGTCATTCCTTCCACGGTTTCGCTTGTGTTAGCTGCACTTTACCTACGGACAACTTCACATTTCCTGATTGGCTGCGGCTTAAACTCTATTACACAGAGGCGAACGGACTCAATGAATTTAATTTAATGCCTCAAACCGCAGAGACCTATGACCACAAAACTCTTGTCTTAATGTGCAACATGCGTCGGCAATAATAATTACAAAACAATGTTTAAAAAACAATGATCTTTATATTGAAGAATAGAATTAATTGTTTTTTGCACATTAAATTCTCTAATTTGAAATTCATGACAGGTTAAAAAAATGATAATACAAAATGCTTAATAAAAAGTATTAGACATTTATGAAAAAAGATAAAATTCATGCTCTAAAAATTTTTAATATCAAAGCAATGTTATTACTCCCTATAAGTAAACAAAAATTCATCATTCTTATCGTAAAAAATTAAAATTAATAAATTATAAATTCCGTAGTTTTCTCCTAGCAGGAAGAACCAAATCAGTTGAATGTATTTACAAAATGCATGAGAGCAAGTTTAAATCTTAAAAAGGTATAGTATTTTTGATGTATTGTTACATTTATTTATAAGTAAATTTTATTTGACGAGGAAATTATGAAAAGCCATATAAACCAGGGTTGCTCTGAGGTACACACGTGATGGGGCAAACCGGTTGGTGCTGGGCTAAGCAATAAAACAGACAAACTTTGTTCCCGGCGCCTTTTATGGTAGTTACTGTACAAGAGAGTAGCGTATCATTGTCTCCATGTAAATCAGCATGTCGTTTTCGATTGTTTTTATAATATTATGCAGATGTCAGTGATGCTTATGTACAAAATTAAATTAATTTTTCATTCACACCTTTGTTTTGTCATTTCTTTCTTGTTGAGTTGTCTTTTGTTTTTCCTTTTAAATTCGTTTCGCAAAGGTTTTTCGAATAATATTCTCAGTAAGAAACTTTTGCAAGAATTCTTAGTTGCTAAGTTGCGTAATTTTAAAGTTTTATCTGAATTGGTAACTTTTCCAGCAACAAAATGTTACAAGGAATATAGCCTGTGACTGATCGCATGAAAAGGTCAGGAATCTACAATTGAATGTCCCACATATGAAGATTCTGAGGATTCGTTCCTGACGTCAACATCTTTATGCAATCGTCCAAGTGTTCAGGAAGACAGAACCTTTATAACAGTACCTGCATCTTTTAGATTTAAACTTAAAAATAAAGCAGCCTTCATAAAATTACAGGTACTTTTATGTACGGACCTTACCACACAGATAGAATTTTCATTTGCTTTACTTTCTGAATCGCATACTGACCGTTAACGTTCGAAAGGCTGCTCTGCAGAAACATTTAACCCTTTGGCGGTTGCGAGGTTAAGCGATTTTTTCTTCCCAAATATGCACGATATCTGTAATTCGCAAATTTGTAGTGCGAGCTGTGTTTACGTCCACTGCCGTGCTTTAACTAGAAAGCGAGCTAGGCTCCTTGATTACCATCAGATGATTAACGTTATATAAAAAAAGAATTGTTGAATAAAATTCTTACTGCAGAAGGATTACACATGTATACCGACAGATGCTACACAAGTATCGAATTAGCAAAGGAATTGCTAAAAGATAAGAAGTACTCAAGTGTTACAATAAAAAAAGTAGGAAAGGTCTGCATGTATAAATAAAAAAACAATATTTACTTTTACGCTTTGACTTCCTCTACAAAAACGTAGTCAGTAAAAAGGTTTATTTGCTTGTCATAAGTTTAACATATTGGTAATAATATATATAAATAAAAACATTTTAATTGAATCCTTTTTTAATTATCTCAAAAGGGACATTAGCCCAAGTAGGCTTAGTTTTGATAAGGGATTTTGCGTTGAATCACTATAAAACGACGTATCACTTTTCAGATTGTTGGCACCAAACATTATCGCCCTGTATTATTTTTAAACAAATTAAGTAATGAAAGATCTGAATGACCTGAAACGACGGTCCCTAGAGGCATCAAATTTTGAATAACGTAGTCCTCTAAACGAAAATGTGCACCTAGAAGCCCGAATCGAATTTGTTTTATTATTTATTTCATATTTTGAAAATCTTTAATGATTTTTTAATAATAAACTCAACGATTTGAAAGCAAGCAATGGCAATGCTGTACGGAATAAAACATTTTTTATCTTCAGCGCGCGAGAATGTCTATCGAAAGTTCTAAAGATATGCTCTTTTTAATATCTGGTGACTTTGCTGTTGAATTGAATTTCATGTGACGTAAGTGCAAGAATCTTGATATTTAATAAAGTTAACAACAAAAAGTTATCAGGGTCAATGTTCCTTCTTACCTTCTTCGGGAACATACAAGGACCTGACTCGGAACAGAGAGCTTACTAAAGCTATGTTCACTAATTGTGGAAAGTAGACAGGATACAGACGAAGGGTATACAAAACCCTTTATTTTTCTTTATATACAAGAACTTCCGTACTTCGGAATACAATGACCCTCCACTCGGGGTCTAACGTAAAAGTATAAAAATAAAACTAAACTCTAATTTAACTTTAGAATAATAAACGTGGAAGATTGGCCTTATAATAACAGGAAGCGTATGTAGCACAGAGACTGTGAACACTACAATACGTTTAATTTATCAAGAGGATTAAAACCTCTGGCCTGGAAGGCAAACAGCAACTGCGTAACTTCTAAGGTAAGCGGCCTGCTTCGAACTCACTGCTTCCTCTCTTCTCGCTTGGCAAAAAGGCCACAACTTAAATACTTGGCGTTCGCCAGACAAACTTTGCATAAAACCTTAACGCTTATAATTCTGGCCGGAAGTAGAAAATAAGAAGTGATAGTAAAGATTTAAAATAAAATAAACGTTAGTAAAACTTAAGATCCTTACATACTTCCCGCCAGAGTTAATTAGTTTGAAACTGAGGTCTAAAACGACCTTGTTGAAAACTTTTAGCTCTAGAATCTAACGCGAGGCCAATCTTTTACAAACATAACTTCGCTAGAAACTAGAAATTTAAAAGAAAGAAATTTGTTTTTACAATAGCAGCTCCCAGGATATACAACAATTTTTTTTCATCTGTACTGCATCTAAACAGGAGCTTTTATTCAATTCTGGTTCCTTCCAGAGATCTGGAAGGAAAACTAGTTTAATGAAATGTTACAGAATGAAATGGCAAGTAACATATATTATACTTTCTCTTAACATTCTTATTTCATTCATGACTATTTTAATTATCTCTCCCCGTGCTCTCTGACATGTGTTGTAAAAGAACACCAAACACGAATGTGTTTCTGTCTACGTGTTCCACACTTCCTCCTACAATCAAAACACTAACGTGTTAAAATTCAACATAACGAGACCTCTTAACACACCCCTAATTTCAACTCTAAACCCTGAGGTACTATTCTGAAAAGTGGCTAACTCTAAAGTGTAGCGTCAGAGAGCCTAACTACATCATTCAACCTTTAACACATATTCACCATGATTTAGTCTTTACAGTCACACGAATAACAAAATTTTTAACATTACTTTCACTTTTACCATATCACGGTATTTCTTAACATTTAAAATAACAGTTCACATTGTATATAAGAACATATCAACATGCCGTTAATTTTACACATTTGAAAACATACATTAGTAGTACATTGTTAACTTCTATTCTTTTCAAAGCAAGTGCCAATTCTTTCTACATTGAAATAATACTACATTTCAAAAAGTCTTTCAGACTAAAACTTCTTTCTTGCTAGAATGTTTTAAATAAAATTTATACAATAACTTTTTACAATATTTAAGTCTTTACACAACGCTATTATACATCAACTTTAGTTTTACGCGCGAGTAATTGAAAAACATAATAAGAAAATCGGTCACAACTCATTTCTCGCCCTTTTGGCGATAAAGGTAGACCTCGCATGAGGTAAAACTTCTTGAAATCTGCCACTTGCAGTAAGAATGAAAGATTAACTTAAGTTTGCAAAGTAACATAAAATTTTACTTATCTTTGTAATATTCGGACATCCTTTTCTGGGCCCAGTCTTTAAAGGTGTAGCAGATAGTAGCTTGGTTGATCCTCCTTCTTGTACGGGCTCGCCCTTCAGTGCTTTCCTCTGGAAGCTTCCTTTTTTCACCAGTTCGGCCACCCTTGAATACCTTCCTTTTCTCCTCTGCTTGTGGTCTTGGCCGTTTGATGGCAGCTGGTCTTGGCGGAACCGGGAAACTTCTTCCGTGTTCTTGCTTGGACCTCGTTGCTGGCCGTTCAAATTTTCCTTGTACTTTTCCTCCGCCGCTGATGGCCCTTCCGCAGTTCGGCGACTTTTGCTGCGGAGAGTTCTGTCGGATGAGTAGATCTTCCGTTTTAGCCGGGTTATAGTTGCCGTCATTTCTCCTGGTTCTCTTCACATACGTCGTCCTTCTCCCTTCTTCATTCTGGGGGTGTTCGTGAACTCTCTTTTCTGGACGGTGGAACGGCTTCTTTTTCTTGTTACCTTCAATTTTTCCGCGGGGCAATTTTCTTTTCACTTGCTTCTGTCTCTCATTGGCTTGCCCTTGTACTTGTCGTTTTTCCACCTCTGGAGCTTGTACCTGCGGTGTCTGCCGTGCCGGATCCTGCAAAAGATCTGAAAAGATTTGCATTTTATTACGATCGAAGTAGGGCTTGATTTGATCAATGTTTGCGGAACAGGTTTCACCATTTCTGGCTTTTAACACTACTAACAGCGTGAGTTATTTTTTCTATAACATATGGTCCTTCAAATCGTGGAAAAAATTTGGCAGTTTTATCTTCTGGTGCTGAAGAAAGTGAATGCTTAATTTTTAAAACTTCATCCCCTACTTTATAAGTTACTCCCCGTCGTTTCAAATCATAATAGAGCTTCTGTTTTCTTTGTGCTACTTCCGTATTCTTTTTTGCTTCTTTTATTAGTTTTTCTATATCACCCATTTTAAATTCTGGGGCTCTTTGTTGCACATAAAATAATTTATCTAATGGTGTTATAATCTTATAATCTTTCTGCCTAGAAATAACTCAGCAGGAGTTTTGCCCGTTGTATCATGTTTTGCGGTCCTAAGGGCGAAAGCAAATTCATTGACATAGTTATCCCAGCTTTTATGAAAATTTTTAACATAACTACGGATAATTTTCACTATATTTCTATTGACCCGTTCCGCTATATTTGATTGCGGCCGATACGGGACCATTTTTAAATGACGTATGCCCAGTTTTTGGCACATGTCTTCAAATATATTACTTACAAATTGAGGACCATTATCCGATATAACTTTTAGGGGCGCCCCGTATTTTAAAATATATTTATTTAAAATAGAATCAGTAACTAATTTCGCGGAGGCTCGTTTTAAGGGAACAATTTCGGTCCATTTACTAAAATGATCAACCATAACAAGGAGATAGCGACTTTTATTTAACTGACTTTTTGGGAAAGGGCCCAATAAATCGATGCCAATTATTTCATTTGGAAATTCGGATTTAATACTATTTAGAAACCCGGCCGGGCGGAAATTAATATAATTAACGGCTTGACATGTTGGGCAGGACTGGACATACGCCCTTGTTAACTTTTGCAGTTCAGGAAAGTAGACTGCCTCGCGTACGCGTTGGATAGTTTTTCGAATACCAGCATGAGAAGCTAAAGGGCTGTCATGGAGCTCCTGCAGGATATTTAATCTAAGACTAGCTGGGATAACAGGTCGAAATTCGTTGTTGGAATTCGTAGTTTTTGTATAGAAATATATAGACCATCTATTAGTTCGTAATGGGCCGCCCTATTTCTTATCGCCACAATATCTTGGTGGCTAAAATTTTCAGGATCCTTCAAATACTCATAAATACTTCCAAACTC